CACCAGGAGGCTAAATGGTAATTCTAAAGTGGTATTTAATTTTGTAGAACTGTCCAAAGTATTTTCTATTGAAATTTGGGATGAAATAAAATAATTTATTGGAACGGTCTGGAATTATGTGAATTGTGGAAGTTAAATGAAGATGTAATCGTCAGAGTTATGAAATGAATTTTGAGCAGTTGGCTCAATCAAATAAAACTTCATTTTTGCAGCTCACGTTAGTCCATTGCCTGTTTCATCACTTCCTCTCGTGGGTACTGGCTTGTTCCCAACATATGGCGGTTCATCATGACGGCTATACGCAGCTATACACGGCTATACAGAGCTATACAGGGCTATACAAAGCTATGCAGGCCTATATTAAGCTATGCAGGGCTATACACAGTTGTACAGGGCTCTACACAGCTATACAGGGCTATACACAGCTATACAAGGCTATACACAGCTATACAGGCCAATATTCAGTTATGCAGGGCTCTACACAGCTATACATGGCTATACACAGTTATACAGGGCTATACACAGCTATACAAGGCTTTTATCATTTATCCAGGGTGAATTTCATGTGTTATAAACCTTCCAAATCGAGTTTTAGTATCGCAGGTTTTTATCATACAGTTCGCTCTTCTTGTTACCGTTTGACACAAACCACTCCATTATTATAGGGAAACTCTTTTTATTCGTCAGCGCCAAGAATAAGGATAAGGTCAAGTTAAGTGAATATCCACTCGTTTGGCTCGAGACGAACCATTCTTCGAAAATCACATTGCTATGAAATCAGAGGATAGTTAAATTAATTTTATTACAAAATGGAGTATGTCATCAAACTTTTAGTATTATAACCAAAGTTTAGAATTTTTCATTTAAGTGGTACTAAGTTTCACGGTGGTAATCTCTATGTAAGTAGTATTGTAAGTGGTATCCTTTGTAAAAAGTACATTCGATGGCATTGTTGTCATGTTTATAATAAACAAAAATACTAAACATTTTTTAAAGATTTACACATACCATTTGATTGAATAAGAAAATGATTAATCAGACATAATAAATCTGAAATGTTTTCATTATTGTACTTTTAATTTTTTTAAAGGAGGTTTTAAATACCCAGCAAGCTCTTTTCCTGGAGACAGCTATTGAGTATTTCGTAACTTCAATGTTCAAATTGGCTTCTTCAGTCTTCGCTATTTCGCAAACATGACTCGTAAAGTTAGGATCATAAAGGAAAATATAAATTTGCTGAATTACACGCTTTCATTCTCCTTGATATATGATTTTGCTACAAAAAGACGAGCCTACTGTGCCCTGCTTAAAGTACAATTCGCGTGCGTTAAATGAAATAGCTTCTTCGGCGATTCAGTTTGCAGCGTTAGCCAAAGACTTAAGAAAAGGAATTCACTGCACTTCCCTTTGCAGTCAAAATAAAAAAATCAGAGGAATATCAAGGGATGGTGATTCATGTTTTAGCTCGCACCATTTCCAAACTCGCTTCCTCTTAAATTGCTCTTAACCAGCGAAATTACTGGCTCCAAATTCTATCGTACAAATTGATGCACTCGTACAAATCTACTCATCTAATAACTTGGGGGTAATTAGCCCATCTGCACGTAGCCGGCTCTCAAGTTTGATAAAATGTGAAAAATTAGTTAAGGAATTCTCAGGAATTCCTAGGAATTCCAAGGAATTTTCAGGAATTCCTAGGAATTCCAAGTCCTGTTGGCTTATGAACGTGGAATTTTTGGGAATTTCTAGGTTTTTTTGGGAATTTCTAGGTTTTTTCGGGAATTTCTAGGTTTTTGGGGAATTCCTAGGAATTCTTAGGAATTCCCGGTCCGAATTTACGGTGAAAATTCACACCTGTAATTCTCAGTAATTTCTAGGAATTCCTAGAAATTCCTGGGAAAAAATTCCTAGGAATTCCTAGGAATTCCAAGATCCATTTCCCAAGGGTACCTGCATTGATCCCATGCATGAAAAAAATAGAATTAGAACTATGTTCATAATTCTTGGACAGTTTCGGCGATGAAAACGCAAAAAAGCAGCGGAAGATAGTCTACAAACACAGTTGGCTTTCTTTCCTGCCTTTCAAAGTAAACAACTCATTCTTAGGTAATTCTTCATAAAGCGAAATCTTTTTTCAATGTAATAAATCCTTCATTAACCAAGCTTGTTTAGTCAAGATAGCTGGATATTAGAGTCGTTCTTTTTTCGCATTTTTATGGACCTTGATTTTGTCTCAGTCCATAAAAGTGGGAAAAAAATTTTGGCCAATATCCAGCCATCTTGACCTCACACTTGGTTAATAACGCATATGCATCGTATCTAATGCAGCTATCTGAATTAAGATGTAGCAGTAAAATTCTTTACTCAATTTATTGCATTGTCCTAGTAAATCCTAATATCTACCTTCACTTTCACAGCCTTTATAATGAGGGGGTAGCTTCCATTCAGTGCACGATCTCACGGATAACCTTATCTCTGCTGGCAGCAGCATATTTTAAGATACACTGCTGCCCCGTGAGATAATTTTCCTTCAATTTCTCATTTTCATCGGGGGTTTGGTTTGGCTGTCGCGACCGACATTTCCAGGTTTTGAAGTATACAACAATGTTGTTTATTCTCCCTTGCGGTCGTGAGCTCTGAGATGACTCACTAGTCCAATATAAGAGTGGCAGACTTTTGGACACTTGTGGCATGGATAGCAACCCTGTTCAAGTATACGCTCTTTGCGGCAACGACGACGTTCCCTCAGATCTTCTATTCGAGCATCCTTAAACCTCGCAACCCCGCACTTAACAGCTGTCTTCCACTAGGCTCTATCGCTTACAAGAGCTTCGAAGTCAGTTATGTCGCATTTGTTAAGCCCGCTCTTCAATTGATCTTTAAAACGCTTCTTAGGCGCACCAACTTTACGAGCACCATCAGAGAGTTCGCTGTATAAAAGGGCTCGTGGTAGTCTCTTGGCGAGAGGTGGGCTTCCATTATCTAGGCCTCAATCCCGCGCATATGGCAGTGAGACAGCACTTCAGTGTTGGGTATACGGTCTTGCCAGGAGATTCCACTAATTCTCCGTAGGCAGCGCATATGAAAGGCATCTAGCTGTCTAATATGTTGGCGATATAATGTCCAGGTTTCTACACCATAGAGTAAGACACTTAGAACAGCTGCTTGATAGACAGACACCTTTGTCACTAGAGAGATGTCATGAGTTTCTTTATGGAGATCGAAAGGCCATATCTCTTTGTGGCACTACTAAGGCAGTCAATAAGAACTTGAACATCTTCTTCGGTATGAGCAACAAGAGCGCAGTCATCAGCGTAGAGTAGCTCTCTGACCAGTATATGGTGGACTTTGGTCTTTGCCTTAAATCGTCGAAGG